GGCTTTATTATTGTAATATGACTTTATTCGTGTAGTATTATGACTTTATTCGTGTAGTATTATGGCTTTATTATTGTAATATGACTTTATTCGTGTAGTATTATGACTTTATTCGTGTAGTATTATGGCTTTATTATTGTAATATGACTTTATTCTTGTAGTATTATGACTTTATTTTTGTAGTATTATAACTTTATTCTTGTAGTATTATGACTTTATTCTTGTAGTATTAAGGCTTTATTTTTGTAATATGACTTTATTCTTGTAGTATTATGACTTTATTCTGGTAATATGGCTTTATTCTCATATTATTTCAACTTTATTCTCACTTTATTCTGGTAAAATGAATTTATTCTTGTACAGCTTTATTCTAGTAAAACTATGGCCTTATTCTCTTAATATTTCAACTTTATTGTCACACAACTTTATTTTCATAATATTTCAACTTTATTGTCACACAACTTTATTTTCATAATATTTCAACTTTATTGTCACACAACTTTATTTTCATAATATTTCAACTTTATTCTTGTAGTGTTGTGACTTTATTCTGGTAATTTAAATAAAAAAATCTTGTATTCTGGCCGTAATACTCCATCGTTTAGATGTTTGTCTACAGCTTGTTACCTTTTTGGATAAATGCAGCTACAACTAATCCAGGGTAGCCAACAAAAAAAAATGTCTGTAACTAATTTTACAGATACTGAGCCCAAATTAGTAGCTGAGAGTCATTTCCAATATAAACTCTGAAGTTTAGCAAATTGTTTGAAATTTGTTTAAAACTTTGACGTCAGATCTGATTTGATCTCATTTAAACACAAACTTCTTCAGACTCCAGTGTCCAAAACCCTAAAGCCACCCGCAGGAAAATCTGTGTTTACAGATGTAAACATGGATGCTACATGCTAGCATGTGTGGATCAGTTCTCACGTTGTTCAATCACAGCAACTAAACCTGCTGTTCTTGTTTCACTCAGTGTTTTCCTACCTGCTCAGAGAATACCTCTGCATGTAAACAATTTATATCTGATTTAGCCCCAAATCTGAAAAAAAAAAAGAAAAAAAAAAAACTGGATCATATTTAGAAAAACTGGATTTGTCCCGTTCAGTTCTACAGTGTGAACGTATCCTGTCAGCGGTCGGCTGACTCAGTTCTGCAGAAAATATCTGACACAAATAAAGTCCACTGAACAGTTAAAGAAGTGGAGTTTTGTTTCATTTCACAGCTCTTTGGGAGTATTTTTTTGTGCATAAATTTAAAAATCAGCTTGAATACATTTTTCCCAGCGTGGCTGCAAAAAGCCTTCATTATTGTGTCGCGGTTCAACCCTCCGCATAGTTTCTCCTTTCTCCTCCTGTTCTTTAGCAACAAGACGTCTGAGCAACAACCTTTTTTAACAGCGGCACTTTTAATCAGTTTCACCAAAGCTACCTAGAAATTACCCTGTCATTCCCCGCAAAGCTTTTCCTCTCGAACGAAAGAAGAAAAAAAAAAGGTGGTTCACAATAAAGGTTACAGACAGAATATCATCCTGACAGCCAACCGTTGATCCTCCTTCAGGTGGAACAACAAACGTGTCGAGGATTTGGACTCGATCTTTAATGTCTCTCGCAGAAGCTAGAAGTTAACGGGAGCCGGTTGAATCGAACGGCGCGTCGTCGCCTCGTCAGGGTTTTGATTCTCATGCTAATTGTTTCAGTCAGGGGTTCAAAACGCCGTCGCGTTTTTCAAAGAGGAGCCGGCGGGAAACGAAAACCCCACAATTACAACCTGACACCGCCTCGTGTTCCCCAGATAATCAGACGAACGGTGGATAATCCTGACAGAACCCCCTTTTCATTCCTTCAAATTGTCATTTTGCAACATGGCGTTCAGTCAACACGGCAACAAGGATGAGGAATAAATACATTAAATTTTTTTTTTCCAGTTTAAATAGTTTCCAGATGGACTTTCAGTGAGCTCACGCCGGTTTCTGTGATGAAATGTGGCCGGAGAACTCGAGTTCCATCGTTGCTCCTGGGTAAACAGATTTCCTTCCCGTGTCAGACTCGAGCGCTCGCAATCACGCAAATTTATTTCTGGTTTCGTTGCTCGGAGCGGAGCAGCACCTCGATCACTCTGTCACCGTTCATTCACTTCAAGATCCTAAAGGTCAAAACGCACAGAGCGCGGCGCTGATGTATGCTCACGTGAAGTACAAACAGGTGTGGGAGGGAAACAACCAGGTGTGTGTACTTAACTTTAGGCTCATTCTGTCATTGTGTGTTTGTCTGTTAGCAAAATATCTCATGAACCAGTCGACGGATGTTAATGTAACTTTTAGGAAGTATTTACTGGATGCATCTCTTCAACTGATTAACGTTTGGAGCCAAATCTTTTCAAGATGGCTGCCTCAGCGAACCAGATTTGAAAAACACAAAAATCGCTACAACTCATTAACTTTTTTAGATACTGAGCTAATATTTGGTATGGTAGTACCTGAGCCTGACCTACAATAAACATTTTAAGCACTATTTAATCTGAATGAGACCTGCTTTTAAATTTTGTCACTAACTATTAAAGCCAAATGTGTCTTGTCTGTTAGCAAAATATCTCATGAATCAGCAGATGGATTTTAGTGAAACTTTTAAAAATATGTTTTATTACATTTTGGACTAATCCTAATTTAATAGCAGATTTTTGGCTAAAATTTGGCATGGTAGTAGCTGAGAGTAATCACCATCACATGCTTTGAGTACTTCTTACTGTGCAAAGTTTTAGGCTTTAAACATAAGCCTTAACCATTTGTCTGTTAGCAAAATATCTCATGAAGTACTGGGCAGACAATAAAAAAACATACACAAATTAATCTTCGGGTGTATCTCTACAACTGATTAGCTTTTGGAG